CCTCGCTGGGCTCCTCCCCCGGCACCACCTCCACCGGCGAGAGCGGGATCGCCAGCCTGGAGTCCCTGGGCTCCCCCGTGGCCACGCTGCCCCCCAGGAGGAGAGTGATGTGAGTGTCACTTGGTGTCACCTCAGCCAGGAAACCCCACACAGCCTTGCTGAAATCATGACATTAACTGCTGCATGTTCTATATAGCACTGCCTTGCTTAATAGCCTGGTTTTTCTGTGTGGATTATGTTCCTCTCTGGTTTTGCTATGTGAATTATGTTCCTCTCTTAATGACATTATTCTGTTTTTTCCTGGCTTCCAACACGAAGCTGCATTAGGGCAGGGCAGGAGGCAGTGCCAGGGGCAGTAATATTTGATTAAAGACATTCCCTGGCACTGCAGGGACATGGCCAGAGCTGAACAGGGGAGTGAGGAGGACAAGAGTGAAGAGGAAGGGTGAGGTTGGGTTATTATAGCCTGGAAATTGAATTGGCTTTGTTGAGAAGAGGAAAACGATGCAGATGTTTCTTATTGTGGATCCAGAGCTGGTTCCATTTATTCCTGAGACATAATTGTGAATCTAAAATGCCTTCCCAGAGCTCTTCTAAATAGAAATTGGGTGGTGACAAATGCTGCTCTGATTGTAGAGGGAATATCCCAGCTGGTTATGAGCAGTATAAACTATTGTTTAATGAAACAAAAAGAGTTTTGAGGAATTTTGTAAATTTTCCTGTCCAAAAATCTCCTCCTCTGCTCTCAGAGTCCATGATGAAGCTGTTTGTAGCTCTGCTCTGAAGATATTTTTGTGTGTACTGAAAGCATCTTTTATAGAGTCCCAGACTCCCAGAGTGGTTTGGGTTGGAAGGGACTTGAAAAATCCCCTAATTCCAGCTCTACATGAGCAGGGAACCTCCCATGTCACTGACACTGAGCTGCATTCACAACAGAAAGCAAAATGGGATCATGAAAAGCAAACAGGCAGAGGGAGCCTGCAGTGATTCACAAACAGAAGGATTTCAGTTGTGCAGCCCAGAGCTAATTTATATTCACATCCCTTCCCCATGTGCATTAGTGCTGAGTCACATTTGTAAAAATAACCTTTCAAATGCCTCATTGGAAGCAGCATCCTCAATCCCCAAGCCAAAGAATTCCTTTCCTTATGGGTGAATGCTAAATGTAGTCCTGGTGTAAGGTTTCCTCATAAGGGTTTTCTTTAGGGTGTTCTTCATAATGGACCTGCTCATGAAATAATTCCCACTGAATTCTGTTCCTGCTCAGGGTGAGCATTTCTGGCAATAGTGGGAATAGTTTTGCCATGGAGAATGTGAAATCTATTGTTTTTTCTGACTGAGCTGTGACCACTGTGCAGAATTGCAGCTATAAGATGTGTTTGTCTGCACAGGTCAGACACTTTCCCAGCACTTGGCAGCAAATGCCATCCTGCAGAAGCATCTCCAGCCAGGCCCAGGGAGGCAGAGGGGGCAGAGCAGCCCCCTGGCACAGGTATGTTCCTGCCAGCGCCCACCTGAGGGACACAGTGCCCCCACATCCCTCTGGCACAGGGAATTCCCACCTGCTCTGGGCCACACTGGGGTTTCAGGGGGCTCAGGTGAGGAGTGCAGCTCATCCCTGTGGGCACTGAGGGGAGGTGCTGCGGGTGTGCTTCACCCTCCCAGGCTTTCACTGCAGCTCCCTGGACTCTGGGGGATCATTGGTGTTCAGGAGCACAGAGTGATTCTGGGCTTTTATTGCTTTTATTGGAGAGCTCTGGCTGTCAGGGGTGCAGACCCAAAGCTGACTCCAACACGGGCTCAGGATGAACTAATATATAGTTATCATTATATAACTATATATTAATTATTAAACTTACATTGTTCTATTGTATACATTGGTTTCATCCAAGCATGGATTTTGTAATTTCCATCAAACCCCCAAACATCATTTCTCATGATTCTTGTTGCAATTAAACAATAATTATATCCAATTANCAGCAGGGCTGGCAGAGCTGCACCTGCAGCCTGAGCAGGTGGACCAGGAGGAGGTGGGTGAAATGGGATAAATGGGTTTTTAGCAGTGCTCCACATCCCTGGAGCGGCCTGGGGTGGTGGAAGGTGTCCCCACCTGTGGGACAAGGTGAGCTTCAAGGTTCCTTCCAGCCCAAACCACTCTGGGGTTCTGTGACTTCTGGCTTTCCTGTCTGTACCTTCCTTTCCTGTCTGTACCTTCCTTTCCTGTCTGTACCTTCCTTTTCTGTCTGTACCTTCCACCCTCTGCTTCCCACTGAAAGGAACCTGAGGTGTTAAACAGAGAAGGAATTTGTAACGTGAAAAATAGTCAGCAAACAGAGAGGAGAATGCTGCAGCATGAAACTCTAATAATTATAGTTAATACGATAAAATAATAATAATTATTAATAATCATTATTCTAAATAATAATTATATTAATATTATTAAGAATAATTATTATAACTAATGATTTATTATTATTGTTTATCACTGCTCATTTCAGTAGGATCTCTGCTTGCTGGGCACTGACTGCATGATTTAGAGGAGGTTTAGATGGGAGATTGGGAAGGAATTCCTGGCTGGGAGGGTGTAGGATGAGTTCCCAGAGCAGCTGTGGCTGCCCCTGGCCCCTGGCAGTGCCCAAGGCCAGGCTGGAGCATTCTGGGACAGTGGGAGGTGTCCCTGCCATAGCAGGGGTGAATGGGATGATCCTTAAGGTCCTTTCCAAGCTGGTCCATGGTTCTGTTTTTAGGATGTGCAGATTTGCTGGATAAAGCTGAGGTCCCACTGTGTGCTGGCAGCCCTCCAACCCCTCCTTTAGCCCACTGGAGAGCACAGAGCAGTTGCTGTGTTCGGCAGGAATCTGTCCCTGTGCTCAGGAGAGGGCAGCTGGGGCACAGCACTGCTGTGGGGCTGTGTTTGCTCACAGGGTAATTGTTCCTGTGAAGTAAAACAGGCAGCACTGCCAGAACCAGGGGGCACAGCCTGCAGCTTCACCAAGGGAAATATAGGTTGGATTTTAGCAAGAAGTTCCTTATGGAAAAAGTGATAAAGTTGTGGAATGGCTGCCCAGGGAGGTGGTTCTAAACCATCTCTGGATGTATTTAAAAGCAGCCTGGATGTGGCACTGGGTGCCAGGGTTCAGTTGAGGTGTTAGTATTGAGTTGGACTGAATGATCTTGTAGGTCTCTTCCAACCCAGTGATTCTGTGTGAAACCAGGAGAGGGATCATTATAATCCCCCAAAAACCCATTAAAATCCCCCAAAAAAGTGTGTGTGCTGATCACACTGCCCAGCAGGGCCTTGAGCACCCCATGGACTGAGCTGAACCCTCAGAAAAATACTTTATACAGCTGAAAAAACCTTTTCCCTCTGCAGTGAGTGCCCCCTGTCCTTTTTCCCACTGTCCAGATGCAGAATTCCCTGAGGTCATTTTTATTTAGCTGAAGAACTTTTATCCCTGTACAGTGAGTGTCCCCTGTGATTTTTCCCCAGTGTCCAGATGCAGAATTTCCTGAGGTCATTTTATTTAGCTGAAAATCCTTTATCCCTGTGCAGTGAGTGTCCCCTGTGATTCCCCCCGTGCAGATGCAGAATTCCCTGAGATCATTTCTATTCAGCTGAAAACCCTTT